TGTATATAAAATATAATTATGAAATAGAAAATCATTTATTTAGTCATCATTCTTTTTAAATCTGTCTTGCCAGAATCTTATCGCTATTGTTGACTTTCAATAATCAACTCCTGCCCTAAGTATCTATTCTTATATTGGTATTTTGTTGTTCACTGGTTCATATCATTATTTTATCTGTTCTATTTTCCTTGGATTTGTTTAGTTAATTCTTAAACTATTTGATAAAGTTAATTAATTTATTACATTTATTTTTTCCCCATATTATTGCTTAAAAGTATAAATTTCCTTTAGGGCATTACTTTGTTATGTCCCATAACTTTCTATATGTGTATTTTTAGTATCTTTGTTTTTAAATTCAAAAATGATTTTTGTCTTTACATTAAAATTATTTTAAAATATTTCAACAATTTCATTTTATATAGGTATTTAATTAAAAAATAACATTAGTCTGGACCCTCCCTGGTGGTGCCAGGGGTTAAAGCACAACACTAAGAAGGGAAAGCCACTTCAGCATGCGTTTGATCCCCGACCCAGAGGTGACCCACATGGCAAGGATGACCTCTCCTGACCCACCTGCTGCTCCCTTCAGCAGTGTACTTTGTCAGTTGGTCTGCTCTGCCCCTCTCTCTGTCTCTGCTGAATCTTCTCATCATTTCTGCACCTCTGGCCTGTACCCCAGTTCTGTATGCATAAATAAGTTTTTAACAAAAATAATATTAGTCTGTGGTCAAACCTTAAGCTTTTGAAGTCATATTTTATTATGACTTCATATGTGAATGACATTTGCAGTTGATATAAAACTCTGCTTTAAATTCTTTCAACATTTTAAAATTTTGCTTTCCTTTCTTCCTTCATTCAACTTTATTGATAAATTTTATTTCGATCAGATTCTTGTCCCTTTGTATATGATTTTTAAAGTTTTTCAGAATTTTGTCATTACATATTCTTAAATTATAGTATAATGTCTTTTATTATTATCTTGTTTTACATTCAATAAGAATCTTAATTTTTTTTTAAAGATTTATTTATTTATACATACCAAACAGGGGTACAACCATAGGTACAGGGGTGGTCAGAGGATTCACCAGAGACAGAGTAGGATGAAGAACAGGCAGATTGATGAAGTACACTCCTGAGGGGAGCAGCAGGTGGGTCAGGAGAGGTCTGCCATGCCATATTGGTCAGTTCCCTGGCAGGGGATTGAACTCGTGAAGTAGCTGTGACTAGCTTTGTAGAGCTGTGCTTTAACCCATTGCATCACCGAGAGGGCCCCAGAAATTTTAGTTTTTAAGTCAAAATAAAGCACTATAGTAAGATGAAAAAAAAGAAGATTTTAGTCTTTTTTTAACATTCTCACAGATGTATTTCTGTTATCTCAAATATTTTCTCTTTTAGTTTTCTTTTTCTCTCCCTCTGAGATGCCTAGCATCTATTTAGTTATGATAATTTCATTGTTCATAGACTGGTTAGATTTTCTGGCATATCTTAAATTTCTAGTCCTTTACCAAGGACTTGAGATACTAATTTAGCTTTCTAATTTTGTTATACTTCTAGGTGTATCCATTGTGATTTTCTTTTATCTTAGCTTTCTTCTTTTCAAATATTATATTTTGATATCTCCTATTTCTGCTTAATAACTGTAGTGATTTTAAGTTAACTTACAAACTATTACAAATAGTTTCCTTTACTTCTTTTATAGAATGTATTAAACTAATTTAAGGAACTTTGTTCCATGTGGTATTTCTTTTTTATTTAGGTTTCAAACTATTTTGTGTGTGTGTGCACAGAACTGGGGTACCGGCCAGAGGCTCAGGGAAGGTGAGAAGCTTCACCAGAGACAGAGTGGGAAACAGAACAGGCAGATCTAGGAAGACACTGCTGAGGGGAGCAGCTGGCCGGTCAGGAGAGGTCTGCCGCGCCATCTGGATCTCCTCCGGGGTAGGCGGAAATCGAATTCATGCGGAAGTAGCTTTAGATTCTCAGTGCTGTGCTTTAACCCGCTGCTCCACCAGGGAGAGCCAGGTTTCAAACTTTTGCTTTTGATGCTATGTCTGATATTCCATTCCACCTTACTTTTGAAATAGTTTCCTCAAATGTTTTCATAGTTTGACCTATGAGTTTATTTTCCTCAGAAGATAGTGGGCACTTTAAATGCCAGTATCTATGTGAGGAGGTTGGGTGCTGGTCCACTTCATTCTCTTGATCTCAGTAATGGAGATGTGACTACAACTCGGGGTGGAGAACCTGAGCAACAGGTTAGGTTCTGTCAGTGGCTCCAGTTCTCAGAGCAAATTTTCAGATCAATAGTTCACATTTTCTATCAGAAAGAAGTATTATCTTGAGAATGTTCTACTTAATTGGAAAGGTTTTATGATAAATTATTTATTATGTATCTTTAAAAACTGCGATTAGGCCCTCCCTGGTGGCACAGCGGGTTAAAGCACAGCACTGAGAAGCTTAAGCCACTCCCACCTGAGTTTGATTCCCACCTACCCCGGAGGTGACCACATGGCGATTCCCACCTACCCCGGAGGTGACCACATGGCATGGCAGACCTCTCCTGACCCGCCCGCTGTTCCCCTCAGCAGTGTACTTCGTCATCTGCCTATTCTGCTCCCCTCTCTATCTCTGGTGAATCCTCTCACGCTCCGCATCTCTGGCCTGTACCCCAGCTCTATATGAATAAATAAATAAATCTTTAAAAAAAAAACAAAACTGTGTTTAAAAGTATGTTTAAAATTTTAAAATATGTGATAATATGCCCCCCTATTCAAAGATTTAACTTTACAAACATACCATCTGGCTTTTAACCAGAATATTTAAAATGTCTTTCTATTTGCCTACTAATCTAGAAACTAAAGTGAAGAATAACATTTTAATACCAAAGTAACTAATCCCTTTGACAAGAGCAGATACACTTTTGCTTTCTGATGTGTATGTAACTTAATCTTCACCAATACTGTAGACATATCTTTAGTGGAGAAAAGACACTTTAGATTGTGTGAAGTATATTACATTTTTTGAAATTGAAACCAATTGTCTAATGATATTTAAAAAGTGATTAGCCATTTATATGAAATGGAGCAATACCTACAGCATAAAATTAAATAGGATATTAATCATTGTGCCTTAGGACATAAATTAAACAATAACCATGGTCAGGAAAAGATATACTATCACTATAGTTGAGCAGGATTGTATCCACTATCAGTATTCAAGCCTAATTTTTAAGAAAAAATGCATTTGGTATAGTTTGATTAGGTAAAATGGACCCAGAAATATGCTCTAGTTAAGGGCTTATCATTATATTGTTGCAGTATATATGTAATATAGCTACTTTTTTTTCCTAAATATTTCTGTAGTTTGCCATCGCTGTACTGAAATTCCTCAGAATTCAAGCTGTACAGAAAAAGTGCCCTTTCCCTTGTTCCTTCCCCCTCACTCCCCATCTTTTTGTTCAGCACATCCATATGTTTCTCAAAAGCACAGTGGAAATGTACAGTTCAGACCATTGATGCCTCCATTTATAACCAACAGGGTTTTCAAAATGATCTTGGACATTATTAATGGGATAAATCACTTGATAGGGAATTAACTGCTTCTAGGATTTTTCATAATTGTATTTTTGATACAAACATTTCCCAGTTTGATCAACTTTGTCCCTGTGTTTCAGATAATGAAATTGAAAAAGAAAAAGAAATGAAATTGAAATAGAAAACATAACCAATTTATGTACCTCTCTTATAAGATCCATGGAGTAAAAATGCATTTAAAAACCATGAATTTATATAAAATAATTAACAAAAGCCAACATAAGAAAATGTTCATCAGACTACCATATGTAGTTTATAATGCCATTGATATACCATAAACCTATATATTAATCTAATTTTCACTGTATTTTCAAAGTTTCCCTGAGAATTAATCAATGTGATTATAAATATCTTAGTGGGATATTATGTAAAATTAATATTACTGTTCAGATGTCCTTTTTCACATTTATTTCCACTTTACTGTATAAGTATTAAAAAAAAACCTTAGTTTGTATTGGAATTTTTAAAAAATGTGGTAATAAGGAATTAAAAACCATGGTATAGCTTTCTGATTACTTGCAGTGTTTTTACTCTTAAGGGCAGAATAAAAAATATTAATAATGTAATAGTCTTAGTTTACTGACTGGACATAAAATAGAAATGGAAATATTTTAAAGTAGCTTGTTCTAGAAAACTGAATATTTGCTTAAATTATAAATTTTACTTAGGTTTAATTTTCTTGGGCAATCAAATCAATAAGTGCATTTTAAACAATATATTAGTACTATTTGGGATCATGTTTAAAGCATCTTAACTTTCTGAAAAAATGTATCCAAAAATCACTTTAAGAATTGTAATTTGCTATAATTAGGTATGCCCTATATCTACTAGAGGCAAAAGTATTTATACTACTTTGGTTACCAGCTGGGATATTTATGATATTCTAGAACATTAAATGTACAATAAGGAAAAGTGTGTTCCAGGAAAGAAAGTTTCTCACATAACAGTGTAAAATACTTCTTGACAATGAGTTGCTGATAGTAATAATGGTATAAAAGCTTCCAAAATGTTCAACCATTATATCTAATTTATGGTATGCAATGAACGTTTCAGCTTTGCTAATACATTTATTGATTTTGTCCAAAATGATACTTTCAATCTTATTCACTTATAACCAGGACATGTACTGAATCAAACTTTCATAATTTTGTAAATACCAATCAGAATGCTCTTTCATGAGGGAACAGATTTCTCTTTTTGCTAAATGCAAAGAATTTTTTCAACATACATAGTCCACAAATATTATATAATTATTTTTAAGTTAATAAAGTCACTTATTTGAAAATATTATATAGTATGAATTATTATAAATTAAGCAGCAAATTTAGAATGGAGATCTTAAAACATATACCTATATATATTAATGTATATAGAATGTTTGATCTTTTCTTCCCTTATCTTCTAAAGTTATCTGGAAGTATTTTGGATGTGTATAGTGGTGACCAAGGAATTTCACCAGTTAAAATGGGACTTACAAGTGCTTCTTGTCCAAGTAGTCTACCAATGAAAAGAGAAATTACAGGTATTGTTGCTTTTATAGTTTTATACATTTTTATAACCAATGACTTGAGATATGTATCATAATATATTATCAAGCTAAGTAGAATTTCTAAATATTATCAAAATGGTTTAAATGAGAGACATTTAGAGAGAGTAAATCAATCATTTTTCTGTGATAACCAAAAAGTAAGCTGTAACTCACATTTCAACTGAATTGTCTCATTATTTTAGAAATTGTAAAATATGTGTATATGCTTTACCCACATATGTCTGAGAACTTGACTAAATTCTTCATTTAATATAGGTTTATTTTGGTATTGAATAGAAACAGTAAATTAACATGGTTAAGAAATAATGGATTCATAGTTAAAGGAAAATTAATCTTATTTGGTATAGAATTTAATGGAATACAAAACAAGTATATTTTTCCTTTTTAGGTTTTATTAATTTCATAATAAACTCACTTTTAACTTTCTCAAGTGAGTAAAACCCCCTAAATTTTCAATAATACATTTCAAAATTATTGCATTTCAAAAGAGTTATAGTGACACTGTCAATTTCTTCCATATATATGTTACAAAATCAGGGTTGGAGGAGTTTTATTCACACTGTAATATAGGTGATCAGATGCAAAGGTACATCAAAGTAAGGATTTCCTGACTTACAAGTTCAGTATTAGTTCTCTCATAAGAATAATGTAAAACTCAGTTGAAATTTCTTTAACGTTTTCAGTTTGAAGATTGAAATAAAAAGGTCTTTAATCATTTTTACACAATATTGACATTTAAGTAAAGATAGTATGTCAATTTTGATGTCAATTCAGTATTTATAAAATGTCTATGCTTTCAAATTATTTAGGCTAAAGTTAATGGAATAATTTTAACTACATAATTTTAAATAAATGCATTCCTATTAGTTCTTTTTAAATTGGAATTACCTAAAGAACACTATATACTATCTATTACTATCAAACAAACTACTCCTACACTTAAGAGATTTAAATAATAAGGACCTAATATTTCATATAATCTCTATGGGCCAGAAATCTATGGATGGCTTAGAAAATTGATTTTGGCTTAAAATCTTTCATGAGCATACATTCAAGATGTTGGCCAGAGATACAGACCTTTGAGACTTACCAGAATAGAGGATGCATTTTCAAGGGGGTGCAGTTACAGGACTTGCATGTTATTGATGCTCATTGGCAAGTGGCCTTGGTCATATAGACCTCTCCATAGCCTGCTCAAATGTATTTAGGATATGACAGCTGGCAACCCAAAACACAAAGTAAAAATTAGAAGGCTTTTATGACCTAGTCTTCAAAGCCATTCTAGTCATTTCCACAATATTCTGTTGGTTTCAGGGTCAGTCCGATTCCATGTGAGGGAACTACAAAGTTGTGAGTATCGTGAGTAAAAATAACAATGAGCCACTCTGGAGGCTGACCACCAAAAAGCACATAAAGTGCTATGTCATAAAGTTACTTAATAGAAGAATGTGATAAAGATAGATAGTTTTAACTCTTTATTTATACAAGAGTTCACAATTTATAAAAATGTATGTTATGAAAATTTAGGTCTGTATACTTTTTATAATTCTGAAAATAATAACCATGATCAAGCTCTTCAATTTTAGCTGTGTACTATAATTTTTTTAAATATCAGTTAGATGTCATAGCAGTTTTACAGATGTGGAGCTAGAGAGATAGATAATCTACTAATAGATAATATTCCCATGGTTAATAAAGGGAGGCGCAGAACACCATTTAGACTTTTCTACTTCGCAGCCTAAATGTTTTGCTGTCTCTTACTAAAGGAGGCTTTACTCTAACTTTCCAAATATTTTTATAAAAGTATCATACAACTAGGAGCAACTGTTTTCTTCTACTAGTTCTGATTTATGTTGACTAGCTATAAGGTATCAATAAGCTTTCTTTTGATCAGAAACAGATACTCGAGCTTTGGCAAAAGAGAGACAAAAGAAGGACAACCACAACCTCAGTGAGTATATTTTCCTTTTCTTCCTAACAAAATTAATTGATGAGCAAAGCTAAAATGTGTGGTCTTTCATTGTCACTTCATAAGTATTTTGAGGTGAGTGACCAAAATTGAAGTGCTACTTAGGGAAATTTAAACAATGTCCAAAATGCTACATATTTTTATGAAGCAAAACATCTCAAATTCTCTCCTTGATCACTGTCTCTCAAAAAGGCTGCATATGACAGTGAGTCATTTGGTTACATTTGATCTCTGTTGCGACTCTTTGACTCAAAGGAGATAAAGATAACATTAGAAGATGTACACTAACTTCAGCTTCTCATCTTTCTGTATCATATGCTTCTCACTTCCTAATGACAAGTTGCTAAATTCCACCTCGGGGGGTGGGGGGGTGGGGAAGACCCTGATATAGATCACATGAAATGGAGAAATGAAGGCAACAGAAGTTTAGTGGCCCCTTTGAGCCATTAATTGAGTTGACTAATTGAGTGGGTAGCCTTTTTGTTATAGGAGCCAAATCAAAAAAAGAGAAATGAGGAAATAGAATTAAAAAAAAAATAAACCTTTACACAAACCAGTAGTAGTTTTCTTACAGGTACTCAGTTGAAATAGATTTTATATGTACCTGTAATGTCTTCCTCTGTTAATTATGCATCTGTATGCATCAAAGAGTGATCAATGTTTGCTGCCTACATGACTGTGAGAAAAGAGTTAGCACTTGGTTATAACAGTTCTTAAGCTTGTTGTGGAAAGGAAAATGATTCCCATAGTCGTTAGTGGAAGCTTGCTTTGGTACAGATTATGAGCCACATAGAACATGAGTAGGAAGCTAATCATTGATAGAGGCATTAATATGTCACAGAACCATGGGTTTCTTTCTCAGTTTTAAACCTATTAACTGTTATTGTCTTTGTTTCTTCCTTTATGTTTATACCTTAAACTAGTAACTTAATACAGATCATGATAGGTGTCTGATATGCCCACTATCAAAGTGTTTTTTAATTTGGATTACCTTTGCTGAATGATCTTACTTTTTTAGAGACAGTGATGTTAAGAATAATATACATTTTAAATAGTATGAATGTAATACAACCACCACCACCATCAGCAACCTTCCTCCCTCTCCCTCCCCCCCCCCCCCCACACACATTTCTCAGGATTATAGCAGGGAGGCAAAGGAATTCCTATTTATCAGATTGGGGAAAGTGCTAAATTAAGTTATAATTTAAGAAAGTTATAACTTGAGGAAGTACCAAATTAAGTGTATTCTATCTCCCTAAATATTTCGGTAAGGCCAGAGGTGAATTTAAAATTCTCAGCTCCTCAGAGTACAGAGTGGGAATATCAGAGAGGGGAAATGCCAACCCACAGCCAAAAGTCTATCTCACTTTTCTCCCCATTTCTGTTCAATCCTGTGATGCAGGTAGCTTCAGGTGTGAGTATGAACCCTTCGTTTTGTACATTATAGGCAGTATGTGTTCATGTAAATAACTGCCCTTTTTTCACATCTTGGATTTAAAAGCTAGCACAGTCGTGTCATGGTACTGTGTCAGGAGACGGACTTTGGAAGTGGCCTTCACAGTCTCTGGAAATACGTTCACAGCATTTGAAGTATTTTCTTGGTGTGAATTATCTACTACATAGTTTAGAATGGGTTCCTTTGATTCTATGGCTGCTTTGCTCACTGAGAAGGGTTGTAGTGAGAGAAAATAAAAGTGACTCCTCTTAAATATGGGCCCCAGTGGCAAGACTATCTTGCCTGTCTCTAAGAACAGTTATGAAAATATATCAGAAACATGAATATATTGTGAAGAGTAAGACTATAGATAGCATGATATAATTTAGCAATTTTTTAAAACTTGACTCACTTATAAATAGTTTTAAGAAACATGATTCTCATTTTAAATAGTAAAAAAATTATTGAATATAATCTAATAGTAGAGTAGGAAATTCTGACATTTTATTTAAGTGCATTTAAATAATAGGTTTTGAAGAAACATTGTAGGTCTAAACCACATTTCTAATTTGATATGAAACTGAGACTTCTTCAAAGCTAGTCCTTATCTATAGTTATAAAAATGTTTTATAATATCATTAATATAGTTTTAACATACTCTCATTATGTATGCATTTATATAATTTTATCTTTATTTTCCTTTCAGTTTTTAAATGTTTTAATCACATACACAGGGATATCAAGATTGGTAAGGATTTAAAATAAAAGCAGGACAAAATTATATTCTAATTTTAGAGAATTCCAATGTTTTACTCCTAAAGATGACATCCATTGATGCTAAATTACTTTGTGAGGTAGGTAGGGTCATTAAAATGATTGATACTCTTTCATGACTCACCTTATTTTCAACAGCATAATATTCAAACATGTAATATTTAAATATATGTGTAGTATTCTCTATGATACTTTTTTCATTTCCTTGGAAAGCTTAAAAAATACTGTCTATAAAAAAGTTACATATATGTTGTAGTTCTTGATACTAAGAATACAGAGGGAAATATAAGACAAAATAAACAGATTAATTTAGCAAAATGAGTTATTTGTAAATCTTACATTTATTGAACATTCACTAGATGCACAACATTTTCATAAGAAATGAATGCAGGGAAATGCAACCAGAAAATTCATATCTGAATAAGAACCTGTATCAGTAGTTCTCAAAGTGTGAGCTCTAGACAAACAGCATGTGAATCCTAAGAATTTGTTAGAAATGCAAATTCTTGGGCCCAATGCAAAACTGTGAAATTCAGAATATTTTTGTATTGGGGTACAAGCCTATCTTAAAAAATCTCTCCAAGTACGTCTGGTATGCCACAAAGTTTAAAACTATTGCTTTATGTATTTCTGAAATTTTGAATTGGAAAAATCTGCATACAGTCTGATCAATATACATTTATTTAATACATCTTATATATCAAGCTCTCTAGAGATAAAAATAGTAAGAAAATGTCCCTGCATTGAAGAAGGTCAAGTCTAGGTGAGCAAAATTACCCAAGGTGTGCCAAACTTTGTGTAGGGCTTCTTGGAAGTACATGAGAAGAGTAAAATTCAGTGCAGAACTAAAAAAAAAAATTACAATCCTGATAGACTCACAAAATGCAATCATGTGGAATAGTAATCAAATTAGAGATGAATAAATATATAAATATAGTTATCCCCTATTTGAACTATATTTAAAATGAAACATTTATTTCAGTATGAATAAGTACATAACCATTCAAAGAAAGAAAATGTATTTTTGAGACAAAACTGTAAAACATTGTAATAGAATCAAAATTCTAATATTATTGTCACTTTTATAAAATATTTGAATTTTTATTTCACTCTTGACTAAATGGAAATATTTTTGCTCATTGTTTTAAGGTTCTTAAAAAAGTTTACAACTGGCCATAGTGAATTGTGCTTTAATGAAAATAATATTTCTTTTTAATAGTTGAAAGAAGAAGAAGGTATAATATTAATTACCGAATCAAGGAGCTTGGCACTCTTATTCCAAAGTCTAACGATCCGTGAGTTTAACAATTAGTTCTATATGTTATGGTTAACCCCTAAAATGGATGGGAGGGAAGAAGGGAACTAATCAGTTAATGGATAACAGCAAGTGGATAAAGCTACTGCTGTTTTTTTCTTTTTTTAACATATCTCTTCATGGCTGATATTATCAAGTTTCCAGGTTATTAGCAATAGTTAATCTTTTGAGTTTCAATTCAAATTATAATAATTTATAAGTAAATTATTTCTTTGTTCAGAGTGGTTCTTTCTGTATGTCACTAGTATTAGTAACTTTAGTGACAGTGTCAAATGCTGTCTATGAACCTGGCCAGTTTACTCAAATTATATTTACAGCAGTTCTTCCAACTTAAGATTTATGTATACACGAAAAGTAACTTGTTAGATTTTCATAGGTTCCAAAATTCTGGAGTCCTGCAAGTAAGAAATGAAATTGTAAAAACATGCTAACTGACGCCAACCAAAAGTAGATTAGTGTAATATAATTCCATCTGCTTTTGGTATAATTTACACACAATGTCAATTAAACAAATAATGTGTGAGATTGTGTCTCAAGGAAGTATTGATTAACCAAAGTATCAGCTAAAGATATTGAGATATTGAGTGTTTCATCAAAAGCATAAAAAAATATGGTCAGTAGACTGAAAAGTGGTTCATTCACATTGAGAACTGTCCTCTCCAAATACTGTCAATCATCCATTATTTCATAACAATGATGTTTGACAAAGTGATATTGGTGAAACTTCTTTCCTAAATCCAAATGTGCCCACTCAGACAATTTAATAATTTATAATGAAAGGGAATGTGATGTTTATCCTCCTGGGCATACTGTGTAGTGAAGGCATCTAGAGAAGAATAACAAAAAGGATCCCTGGGGCAGTCTCAGAGCTGTCTTAGTAGACACTATCAATACCTCTTCAAAACTTTTGAAATCTTGAAGCTTGCAACTTTTTTTTTAATAGATGAAGAGAACATTTGTTTTCTTGAAAGACTTTTTAACACTTAAAAATCTAAATATATATTGATTCACCAAATGTTTTATTTGAATATGTGTTTTGATTTGTTTTCACCAATCAGCAGCACTAAAATATATAATCTAATCTTTTAAAAATAAAACAAGACTTAGATGGCCAAAATATATATTTTTAAAAATGTTTTCACCTTGATTCATTACAACATTTTATGAAGTTAATTTTCACTGACATTTAAATTCAGTTTCCAGAGCTTTTAATATAATTTTCCTAAAAATAATGTTTATAAATGTTCTTTCTGTTTTTTCACTCATATTTTATTAGCTAATGTACATATTACTTAATTATATTATCATAATAAGTGCTGTGGGCATTAACTTAATTGGCTTTAAGTAAACACATGTTGCCACAAGAAGAACCAAAACACCTAGGTGTTATCAAAAGGTAGCCTTGTAGCTTCTAACATCTACTTTGTTCTGACAACAATCAGTGGTTGTCACTAAGGGAATGAAAGACATGAATTAATCCTGATAGTGACTAGATAAAGGTGAGTTAAAAGAGCTTCTCTTATAAATTGAAGAGCTAATCCATAGTGCCCAGGGCACATAGGATTGGACCCTGAAGCTGAATTGAACATTTTCAGATATCACCATATATATGGCAACCAGTTATATAACTAGGTTATTATAAAAATGCAATCAAATAATGTGCATGGCAATAGTTTACAAAATATAAAGTTTACATAAGGGATTATTATTACCTTACATATTTATGAATACTTTGGTTATAAGCATAGCTATGTCCAATGAAACTTAATTAACAATAAATAGACTGTGGTGTAGTTTCTCTATCTCTGATTCATAACATGGAAAACCAATTTATAACAGAATCATATTTGAAAACGAACATTACTTGAAAAACTTCATTGCAAGCATTTTTAAAATGCCTATCTCTTCTACATGGGCCCCAACAAGGTTAGTTATTATTTGTAATCTGTTATGTAATATGTAGATGAATTTTACTTATTTGGTTTTAATTGAAACACAAAAATTAATCAAACATTGATTATGTCATAATCAGATCTGTCTACACAACACAAGCACAAAGGGACACTTCGCTGTCAACTGTAGGATCCCAAACATCTCAATACTAATTTTGTTTAAATAAATTCCATCGCTTAGCTTCCTGTGTCTTCACCTGTTACACTAACGTCCCTCTGGTGAAATCTATAACATAACCACTTAAAAGGTCACAATAGAAAACATTTTTTTTTCCTCATGGAATATGCATTTGAAAGTATGTAAAAGCCACAGATTTGTAGGAAGAGTACTGAACTGATGGAGGAGAACTGTTGTTCTGTCTTTTAAAAATACTGTCTGCTCTGGGGTAAAGTTTAGAAACTGTGAAGTAGTAGATCTCTGATGATCTTTTCAGTTATAATTGGAGTAACTTTAGGTAATGGTTTGTAACTTAGAACTTCTTTTTCTAATGCTTTTATGCACACACCCTTCTAATGTGGCAACAGAAAGGGCCATTTTCCAAAGTTCAGCATGTTGACACTCCTACTTTAATGTACACATTTCTCTTACCTACTTTAGCCCTAAAGCTTTTTTACAAAATTTTTTAAAAGATTTATTTATTTATGCATACAGAACTGGGGTACAGGCCAGGGGTCCAGGGGCGGTGAAAGGATTTACCAGAAACAGAGTGGGGAACAGAACAGGCAGATCAATGAAGTACAATGCTGAGGGGAGCAGTGGAAGAGACAGGAGATGTCTGCCGCTCACCTCCAGAGCAGGGTATCCAACTCATGCAGAAACTGCTGTGCTAGCATGTAGGGCTGCGCTTTAATCAGTTGAGCCACCAGAGGCAGCCACATTCAAACTTTTACGTCCACAAAAGTTTTAAGTTTTTCAGATAAAATTATTTTATATAAAGCAAAAAGCTAGCATCAGCTTTCATTCCTTAAGCATGACTTTAGTAACATGTTAGTATTTATACAATACTTTTAGTTCCTAGACTGGGTCAGAATATTCCCTTGAGAATCTGGAAAACTTAAGATATTTTTAAAATAATTATTATATATTAAAATTAACTTCTAACATGTTACTGCAAATGATGTCAGGTACAATTAAAGGAGACAGTCATGTATACTCTGCCACCTTTTAAAAGTTTTCAGATTTTAGATCTGAATAAACAGTATCTTAAACTTCCAAGTTCATTATGGTTATTCTTTTCATTTAATTCATTTCATCCTTCAAGTTTTCTTCCCAAAGGAAATGAAACAAACTAGGGGCACAAGCCTCCTGTTACCATTTAGAGTTTTAATTAAGAGGTCACTACCTTTTTTAGTTATAGAGACCTTGTAGGTTTAATGATAACTATAGTCTCTTTTTCTATAACCTCCCATCACCAGATAAGACACAGTGAGTGGACTAAGGCCAAGAGCTATTATGGCCCTAGGGAACTGATGAAGCATTTTCGAACTTGAGTTAGACACTGACATGATTTGGTACATTCCTATAGAAGGCTACTTATCCTAATCAGCATTTTCCCCTGCTGGTAGAAAAACATATCTCCCTACAGCTAGTGAAATTCTCATCTAATCTGGCATTCCAAGAAGGCATATACAAGTCATTTTTTTAAGTATCTTTTCACACTTTTGATCACTTAATACATATCTACATAAACTTTAGTATATTTCACAAAATAATGTAAACTATAATACATGCAGTATAATCTTTTAATTTTCCTTTGTATTCAATATTAAAAAATCATATGACTCAAGATTGAAAAATTACTAAGGCTCTGCAATAGCTCTGATTAGCTTTTATTAATTAGTTTGGACTCATTATCCACACATATTATCAATTCTCATTTAGTATTAAATTCATTAACATATGTTTTCAGATATTAAAATTAATAGTTTATTCCAGATTTATCATATCCCTGTTTTAAACAAATGTTTTAATAGGGGTGTTTTTTTTTAATGCAGTAGCCTTGAAATTTTATCTGGTAATATTTAACTATATTTACCTATCTTAAACTTATTAAAATATTTATCCATGCTTTTAAAAATTATTAATTGCTTTTATGCAAAAAATTTACTAAATGGTTCTAGAAAGTTTTGTCCTATTGCATAAATTCATGTTGCCAAACTCTTGATTTGTTTCACAATCATTCAGGATCACCATTCAGGAGGAAATACATTTTTTTTCCTCTTAGAAGCATAAAAGCAACCTTATTAGAATGTAGGTTAAAAGATTGGTACATTTGAAATGATCTTAAAAAATTTAGGCTTAAGTCTTCAGTAATGTACATTTCCTAGTTCATTAATGCAGAAATACCGCACATAGATTTTAATCTCGGAGTTAATAATAAAAGCAATTTTCACTAAAAATATAAAAACTGTAATGGTAGAATCATGATATTGCATTTAGCTCTCCCACAAAAAGTCACTTTATTACTTTCTTTTGACACTTATTTTCATTCTGGGATTAATTTTACTATATAAGGGCTTCTTAACTATTCTATTAAAATTTCTATTCAGAAGCAATAATATCTAAGAGTGAATAATAGTCATGTAAATCATTATTTTATATTAATGTAAAAGATTTTGTAAGTTCTTATGAATTCTGCTGACATGCACAATTGTGAAAAGGTTATCTCTCCGTTCTACAGTGATATGCGCTGGAACAAAGGAACCATTCTAAAAGCATCAGTGGAGTACATCAAGTGGCTCCAAAAAGAACAACAGAGAGCCCGGGAATTAGAACACAGACAGAAGAGATTAGAGCAAGCTAACAAGCGGCTTCTACTCCGGATTCAGGTTTTTCTACCAATGTTGCTATAAACTACAAAGCTCACAAGCGACTTACTCATCATCAATTCCATTCATTAATTTACTTTTTTTATTTTTAACAACTCTTTTTCTTGCAAAGAATTTTGTTACCTTTTAACAAGTCACAAATTTGATGGTTTCATTAGTTTCTGATTAGAAATCCACAATCAAGATGACTTTAAAAAATGTATGTGTAATGAAAGAACAAATCGTAAAATGCAGAAAACTGAACCAGCTTTATAAAAACACATTATTACCTGAGATAGAAAAAAAAAAAAGTAGAGCATTTGTTTCTCTATATATTGGACACTAAATTCTCCTCTCCCTGCTTTTTCCTTTAATATCATCGCTGTGGATTTCATTGCCTCAAGACATATTGTGCCAATTTATATTAAGTCACTCTTCATCTGTTCATATGACACAAAATATCAAAATATGGGTTTTCATAACTCTCAAATGTTTTTATGTGAACATGTTTATTGCCAGGTAATACACTCACTCTGTTTCTCTGAAATGGTCCCATAGTGAGAAATTAATCATTAAGAATAAATGGAAAATTTCCACTATCTCTAAGTGGCGATATTGTAGTCTGAGTCATGATGGGACCATCATTTGTTATAAATTCCTTTAAAGACCAATAGGAATATTTTTTTAATCTTTTTCATCTCAGGGTTATATTTTAGGTAGTAGCAATATATCAGATTCCATTATTTATGAAGAATATTTGTAAATTATGTTATGTTCAATTTGAATGCTTGTTAATATTTTGGTTTTATTTTTAGTCTGTTTTATACAATTATGTCTACTTTCAGTGTCACTATTTAATTATTCTTCTTTGAAATTGCAGGAACTAGAAATACAGGCTCGTGCTCATGGCCTGCCAACTTTGGCTTCAATTGGCTCAGTTGATTTAGGTGCTGATGTCACCAAACAGCAGACCCATCTTGAGCAAAATTCAGTGGATTATTGCCAGCAATTGACTCTGGCTCGGGTGACAAGCCCTGAGCTCTGTGATCAAGCTATGGCCTTCTCAGATCCGTTGTCACACTTTACAGACTTATCATTCAGTGCTGCTTTGAAAGAGGAACAGAGATTGGATGGCATTCTACTGGATGATACAATATCTCCATTTGGAACAGATCCTCTGCTTTCTGCCACTTCCCCTGCAGTTTCTAAAGAGAGCAGTAGGAGAAGTAGTTTCAGCTCAGATGATGGTGATGAATTATAAAAACAAAAACAAAAACAGGCTCAATTAATCAACAGGGATGCAACTCCAGGCTGGTGCTATGTTATGGTCTGTTTTGTTTTTTTTTTTCATATATTGCTTTGACTTAATTCTGAAAGGAATAAATTCATGAACAAACTGATTAATTAAAAACAACAGAAGAATTCACAGAAAGAAGAGGCATAGTGTTGAAGAATTATTAAGGGCTAAAGAAGAGATTTTCTTTTTCCTCTTTGACTACAGAATCCAAATCTACTTAATTTTATTTTCCTGGAAAGAGATACAACGTAAAAAATATCTCTCTATTGATATGTTAAAAGTAGCAATTTTCTGATGTGCTACTAGAATAACAAACTGAAAAGAGTGAAACTATTGGAATAGGTAGACCTTTTCTTAGTTTTTCATTTCCATCCACTTCCTATTTAATTTTTACACCATTCATTTTCAAGAATTGAGCTCAACATCTGGTGGTTCATTGCCTTTCTCCACTGTCTAGTAGACATGTTTAAAGTTTAAGACTTATAAGGGAAATCATTAAAAGACAGATTATCTGTCACTTGTAATTTTAAAATGAATCTATAATAAACATTGGAATTTAGTACAATAAAATCAGAAAGTGTATAAAACTTTGGTTTCTAAAATTAGACCCTGGTTCCTTTAATCAGTTTAATCACACTAATTCTAATAGCATCTTTGTTTATTTACAGAGACATATTCTGTTTAGACAATATATATATATATATATATATATATATTATAAATTAAGGAACACACTGGATAATATCTTCAAGGATATAGGCTAGAATTTTATCTCTTCAAACAAACATAAACCCTTACACTGGCACAAATTTTGTTTTTAATATATATTTATTGATGCATACAGAAGTAGGTTACAGTCCAGAGGTACAGGGCAGTGAGAGGATTTAACAGAGTCAGAGTGGGGAACAGAATAGGCTAATTGACAAAGTACACTGCTGACTGCAGCAGCAGACAAGACAAGAGAGGTCTGCCTCACCATGTGGATCACCTCCCTGTCAGGGGATCTAACTCAATGGTGAAGCAGCTGAAGTGGCTAGCTTCACAGTGCTGTGCTTTAACCCATTGAGCCACCAGTGAGGGCCTGGGCGTGTTTTTTTTTTTTTTTAATCTTCATTTAAGTCTACGGATTATCTAATCAACATCAGAAATCACATTCCAGACCCTCTTTTCTTTATCAAAAAGAAATATTGAATAATCAACTTCAGTAAATCAAGCAAGAAAAAAATTCTCCCCTACAGAAACACTTTGTCAGGCATTAAAGTTTATCACTGTCTCTAAAATTGGAGATATAGTTCTCCACCAAATTGACAAAATAATGAGCTGATAAATTAATCAGCAATTCAGGACTTATATTACATTTAGGTTAGTGTTTGATACAGTGCTATTCTCATAAGCAATTTAGAGTGCCCAGTGATTTTTGTTAGCTTTGTTAGCATGTATTATGCATATTTATATCTATGATGATTTACTCAAAATTTTCTCTCTTGAGTTTGTTTTAGGATTGAGAATTGACTTATCAACTATGTTGCTGGATCTCTTCCTGTGAACATCTGATTAATGAGTACTCAGGGACAGAGTCAAAACTGCAATGGGTCCTATCAAAATGTAGAAAAGATGAATGAGATGTGGTCTTATTCTTCAGGGAGTTAACAAGACTACATAAGAAAAAAAGATAGAAGACATAGAGAATTAAAGTCTACAAATAACAGAAGTTCAGAGAAAATGAAAAGGAATTAAGGTTGGAAAATCAGATATATCATAAATTGGGTGAGCGAGGCGAATAGAGAAATAATAAAAAAATTATAAAAGTGAGAATAATTTTGGAATCTGTCTTCATTTGGCATTCATTACAAAGATCTAGCTATCCAAAAGATAGATACTTGTTAAGATTTCTGGAAAATAAGGTTGGCAACAGGCTGTGGAAGCCCTTCAGAGCTAGTAGGAAGTTGTGTAAATTACTTGTGTAAAATATGCCTAAAATTTTAAATATACTGAGATACAATCTTTCAGGTATATTAACTTTAAGAGCATTTTTGAAAAGACAACTTAGGTAATACTCATGGTGGAAATTGTCATTAGAAAGTCTTCTAATACTGATTTAAAAAATACACAAATGTTAAAACTCTAGTGATAGTGATCTCAGGCTTACGCCAAAGGTTTAGCTCTGAGTTTGGAGAATTAAAGTAAGTTTAACATGGAAATAATAATTGTTAACTTTTAGAACTAGTCAATAAGACTAGATATATAAATTCATCTGAAATATGCTATGTGAAAATCAGTAAGATATACTTTCTCAATAATTTTCAATAAGATACTATGTACCTTGAAGTTTATGACAAAATTCTACTTTGTTATCTCAGTTGCTAATTTCATTCAACATTGCAAACCATAGGAAGAAATGTATTTTGGAATCCAGAGAAACTCACCACCTAGAGAGAAGCTAATTTCTGTTCTCATTTTATCCATTATTGTTATTTATTCATATTCTGAGACTGACACTGATGATGCCATTATTCTGTCATCATTATCTATTCAGTTGAAATACTGCTACTCAGCTCTGAAAACCATTACCCAAAATATTAGCTAAAGTACGGGCCCTACACAAGATGTTAGAATCTGCACAGAGGTCCTGGAAAGGTTATTAATATTTGCTGCTACCTTCAAATTAAAATAGCTATCAGGCTAATGAATGATCAAATTTCAAAAGATAGATTTAAAAACTACCAGTCATTCTTAACTTTTTTTTTTAAGATTTATTTATTTATTCATATGGAACTGGGGTGCAGGCCAGAGATGTGGATGGTGAGAGGATTCACCAGAGACAGAGAGGGGAGCAAAACAGGCAGATCAATGAAGTACACTGCTGAGGGGAGCAGCGGGCAGGTCAGGAGAGGTCTGCCTCGCCATGTGGATCACCTCCAGGGCAGGCGGGAATCGAATTCATGCAGAAGTGGCTTTAGCTTCTTAGTGCTGTGCTTTAACCCGCTGCGCCACCAGGGAGGGCCATTCTTAACTTTTTAAGGCATGCCTAGAGAATCTAAGGAAGACTGTAGAGTCCCCCAGAAACATACACATTTGTATAGACAAAAAAAAAAAATTGAATGCACCGATAGTTTCTAGGAACATTCTGAATGTTTCTCTGGATTCTTGGTGAAAAATCCTACATCAATCCTATCCATTTTAATAAATATTGTTGCTATGTGTCTATAAAGAGCTAAATACATAGTTAACAGCATATATAATGACAGAGAAGGAAACCCTAATTATCTGAATATCATTACCCCAAACCTATAGCAATGAGGTTGCATAAGAAACTGAAGTGTAGCAAACTACCCTATTCATTGAGGAAGTTGTTCACTTAAAAAGTAATCACCTCTTAGGCATCCTGAATACAAAATGTCTCTGGTTTTATATTTGTTATATATTTATCAGTCACTTTGTCTATGACTATTTGACATTGTAAACATCTTCTTAATGCTAAAAATGAAGTAAAATAAAGTAAAAATATTATAAACTCAAAAGCAAATTGCCCATGTATTTAATAGTCAAGTGACATCCTTTGAGGAAGTGATGAATAGCTAGAATATGTTTTCAAAAGTAAGATATCTCATAACATCAGATGCATATTGTTTGTCAAATAATGTTGTACAAAATATATCAGCTATTATGAGACTATTATATAATTAACTGGTTTGTTCATTCAAAGGATTAATGCATATTTACAGTTGTAATAAAAACTTTCTTAAATATGATAAAATAAGTTTTCCTTACTTTAGTTACCTTTTCAAAATAGTATGTCATATATTTTTTGTAATTACTATAAACTATTGGTTTCCTTTTCATGGATTTACATTAGGTAAACTTTCTAACTCTCAATTATCTTAAAATAACAAGAGACTCCTGAGTAGATATAGGTCTTCATAATTTTTTTCTTTTATTGTCTTTTTTCTCGAACTTTTCCCATTAATACATACAATACACACTCATACATACATATGCAAACTATATTTTCTCAATTTACAGATATAATATCGGTGACTATATTTTTCTTAGCAAGTGGGTACAAAAGCTCTAAATAATAGCCAGATGAGCAAGAGACAAAAAGAAATAACCTCCTTTCTTTTCCTTTTGAATTCATTTTCCCACTTACATGATTGTAAGTAAAATATTTAATAGCATTTATTTTAAAAAATTAGCCTCAAGTTTCTCAATTTTATATACTCCTTTACCTTTATGTCAGCAGAGAAGTTAGATTTTACAATATAAACAAAAATATATTTTTTTCTTTTGCTTTGATAGATTAAGTCATATTGGAATTTCCTTTAAGGTATCATGAAAATACCTTTTTGCTGTTTTGATTTTGTGGAATTTTTGATACTTAAATAAATAAATGTCATACTTAAGTGTCTCAAGGATTTTATAGACTTTCTAAGTAGCTATTTACTAACATTATATCCAAGATAAACGTGAAAACTGGAATCAATTAATCATCATTTTGCATGTTATCAGCTCTAGATTAACCGTCTGGGTTTCTTGAAAACCTGAAGGATTGAATTTTGCTTCAGTATTGATAATGGCGCAGTCTGTATATGCTACGTGGAATTACATCATTTGCCCCCTCCAATGCCCTGCATTTTGATAAGTATATGAAGTCAACCTAAGTTAGTATAATTACATATACAAAGATTTCATTACTTTTACTTAATAAATACTAGACACATTTAGAGTATTTATATATGTATTTCTACCTTCCAAAATGATCTCTGTTTTGTTTTCCACTGTTGTAATCCTCAGTAAATTGTGTTTCCTGCCCCTACATCTATCTGTCGGCTTCAAGAATAAAACTAAAGACTTTTGTCTTCAATGCTACCTCTCCCACTAAGGTGTTCCCAATTTATTTTAAAAATTCTGTGGCTCCAGTTTTACTTTATTCCCAGAAATAAATTTTATTTGTATATTACTTA